CAAACAAAAAATATCAAACTAATTTTAAAGTAGAATAAAATTATTCCGATATTTTAACAGTTCTCTACAACCATCATCAACCATAAATGTAAGATAGCACCCAAACTACATAGAATATAGAACTATAATCTTTGACTATGGAGTTTTTTTAATATCTAATATAATATTAAATGAATCAATCAATAATTTAAATACAATTATTTTAATCAGGGGAGAACACTTGTGAAACGCTATTTTTTTCGCATATCATGGACCGACAAGCATGTGTTGGACTATTACATACATACAATTTGAATTAAAATTATACTTTTCACATATTTTTTTCTTGTACAATGATTCTTTCACGCACACAATGTTTTATGTTAGATATATATTTTTTTTTTTATGTAGTCAAACATTACGTGAAATTATTAGTGGATATTTATCAAATTTCAAAATTGGAAATCACATCATAAGGGATGTCTAAAGATATTTATTACTCAATAATTCGTGCCTACCGGTTAATGTAATAAAATAGGAAGATACACAAAATAATATTTATTTTCACCTGTCATTTAATTACATGTGATCTTGGACTCTTTAATTTAGACGGGTTTGAATATAATGCCGGAAAGGATTAGCATATTTTTTGTGTGATTAATTTGAATAAATCACGTATTAATGTCCCATAATTTGAAACAAAATGTTTTTTTTTAGTAGTTGTTACACCTGCCTTGTTAGGTGCATGGTATAATTCCCAAAATCACATGTAAAAAGGTGGCTTATTAGTCATAGGATAAAAGGTGGCAAATTGCACATGCAAATGCATAACACATACATTTGTGTCACATGGAAATAATTTATTTTCTATGTATAAATATGGATATTTATTTTTTTTTTCTGCTATTGTAATGTCGCTACTTTTATATATATATATATAATTCGAGTGCCATATTCGTACGCACATTGATATTCACATTAATCGGAATTTGAAATCCCGATTTGTATCGACGAATGTTAGATAAAACCTAAATTCCTATTAATTTGGAAAATTCAATTAATTTTTAATTTCTTTGTTGTTTTGTAATTCATCAAAAGAATTGACACATAATGCTGCGGTACTTAGTTATGGATGCAATCATCCAAGAAACATTACTAAGTGTATACCATTGTGTTATTGGGCTACACTATGAAGTTGAATCAAGCCCAAAACTAATATCAGTGACATGGGGGCCCATAAATATTTAAGCTATTTCAGAGCAAGTTCTTTATCAGTTTCACCACTTTCATAACGTCCGATTCGGACGCAAAGGCTCTTCACCGACAGAACTGGGCCTAACTATTTTGAATCTAGTTGGCCCATTAACTGTCACTAATAAGTCCATTTAAAATAACAGTATGGACGATATTATTTAAGTAAAATCATTCTATATTCATATTGTCATTTTAATTAAAATTGATGAATAATTTAATATTATTTTATTGATTACAGTAACATCTTAAGTAATAATGTGAGTAATCTTGTTTAATTAACAAATATGACATTCTCGCCTTGGGAAAAATGTGCTAAATTATTTATTCAAAATCCGTGATTATGCTTACAAGATCCGACCAGAGAACAAAAGGGAGAAGGGTGAGGAGGAGGAGAAAAGGGAATGAGTTATGTGTGTGCACATTTTATTATTATTATTGTTATTATTATTTTTGTGGTGAAAGAAATTGTAAGGACTTTATTAATACAGACATGACAGTTGTGATGATAATGACGTTACTAATTTCTTCTTTTTTATTTTTTTTTTATTTTTTTTTATTTTTTCATCATTTTTTTAGTATGATATGTTCATGTAATTTTAACTTGTGTTTTTGGGTGTGCGCGGAAAATTGGATAAAGAGAATGGAAGTTTAATTTTATTTTCTGAAAGCCTAATCAAAGAGAAAACATACCAAAATTGGAGTTGTAAACAAATGTCTTACCCAAACATTTTTACGTGGTTGCCTGTACTTGAAACAACTTTGATGAAAGTTATATTTGATGAGATATACAAAATATTTTGGTATATTTTCCTATAACAATTTCGTTTAGGTGTTTCTAGACATTTTTTTCAAATATATTTTAGAAAATTTAGGTAATTTCAAACATTTTTGAAAAACAAATATACATGTATAATATTTTAGTACTTTTAATATTTTAAATATACATGTTTTTACATGTATGTATTTTACTATTATATAGTAACACATATCTTTAATTATAAATACTATCAGTTTTGCTATAAAGCCAACAGTTGACTCCATAGTGGAGTCAAACTTATATATACAACAAATAAACCTACTACATTGCTCGTGTATCAATTTGCACTAATTATTTATCAGTAGTGTCAATTAATTTTTAGAATTAGAAAAATATAGTAGGAATATAAATTTAATTCACCCTTTATATTATTCGTACCGACAATAAATATCAAACAATTAACGTAAAAGAAATTTCGTGACATCAAAAAAAATTTCGTCACCGGATCCTCACTTATATATTCCTACTCCTACACCCAATAATAGGTTTAACACACGTAAAA